AGCCTAAGGGAAATTAAGCTATATTCCGAGGGTTTTTAAAAGATATATTTTTTAAATTTTTTATAAAAAAATCATTTATTTATTTTCGATCTGCTAGAAAAATATCACTTACTTTTATTCCAAATACATAAAGTTCCTATAGTTCAAACGCTTTTTTTTCTATGAAAAATTAAATATCTAACAAAAAACAAAACAAGAAGACAACACTGTTTTATATATCAATAGCTTAGGGAAATATAGTCTTGATCCGCCTACCTGCTTCACGTAACGTCATGATGGCGGAAGTGACACCTCGGGTATGTTTTGTGTGTTTATGTCGACAGACGAGCCAAGACTACAAAGTTTTGATATGTTTTTATGTTTTACCTATGTAGAAATATATTTACGAGGGTTAGATGAACATTTATTGTCGCAAATGTCGTATTGGAATCCTTTTGGTTAAATCAAGCAAAACAGCAAATAAAAGACAAGGAAGGGGGGAAGTGTTTTTTTCTGCGATCTACACCTAAATAATGGATGAACAACTGTAGAAAAGGTAAATTCAATAATTGATTCAACACATCTTTGGATTTTTCGAAAAAAGGCCGCATATGACAACGGAAATATATCTAAGATTTTTCTCAAATCTCAGCTTACGTGAGATCAATCTCGGAAATGTTGGTGGCACGGCGTTTTTTGAAAATCTCTGGCCCCGCCGCCACCAAAATTATACCGAACTCAGCCTCAATTTACTACTCAAGCGTTGAGGCCATCCTCAACAGAGGACATTCTCAAATCACCACCACCAACATAGTTGAGTATGTACTCTGTTGAATATGAATTTTTAGGTTCTCTACTCTACTGAGTACATACTCAGTCAATTTTTTTCAATGATGTAAGCGGTCTCACGAAATATATGAAGTACACAAAATTTGATGAAATGTTTGTTACGTAATAAACAGGTATTGCCGTCTGCTTTGTTTGTTTGTTTTATTCACAAACATGGAGCTTGTCGAAGTAAAACTCCCGACAGAACAAAATAATCCTAAGAAAAGGGGCACCAATTGGACTTCAGAGGAGGAGATCCTCCTAATAGAAGAGGTTTTGAAGTATGAAGAGACCCTCTTCGGTAAAATGAAGGGTTCGGGGGTGAAGGGTAAACATGGCAAATTGAAAGAATCTACGTGGAAATCCATCGCAGAAACCCTTAACTTGTAAGTTCTGTTGTTGTTGCATATTCAATCAAAACATTTAATTTTCCTACACTTTAAAAATATAGCTTATTAAGTTTTTACTTAACTTTTCCTTTCCAACTCGCTGTAACGCGGACCTGTTGTAAATAAAGTTTAGTAGTTATCTCCCTTCAATCTTTACATGGGTAGCTATTCATTTCGACCCAATACTGTTTGGAACGTGACGGTTTGACATCCATTGATGTGCAGTTGTATATTAGATCTACAGTTAAAAAAAATACGATGCGGTTTTTATTTAAGAAAACGTTTTAGATCGCAGAAGATTAACAGACAAGAATGAAAACATTTCACATTTGATTCGTTGTATATAAATAAGGATTTTCTATCCATTTCATTATGAATTTATAAATTTTTATAATAGCTTTTACAAAGAATTTTTAAATTGCTGTAATGAATTCAACAATTTTTAGAAACGGATTAAATTCGTTATAAGGATTAAATTCATTGAAATTGATATAATTAATTAAGAATTCATTTAAAAATAATTTATAACAAATCAAATTATACAATATGCTCACTCAGTATTCGTTACATCGGATTCAGTGATACTTTTTGATACGTCCTAATTGGCGATCTCAATAAACTTCTGACTAAAAATAATAGTTATCCATAGTTTTCTCATACGATTGTCTGACCAGTCCCCCCCCCCCCCTTCCCCCAATTTTTCCAGTTATGTTCTGTGGTCTTAAATTAGGTGCTAACAGGTTAAAGCATTTTTTGAAGTATTCTTCATACATTCATATACTATTAATTATTATTGTATACATATAGAAAATATCGCTTTGAACACCAAAGTTGCTATTGAATGTCATCGTTTCCTTATTCTTCTGATTTTTTTTTCGATGGCTTACTTTTCTAAATACTCTCGGGCGGTTGATATTCAAAATGATGGTGTTGTAGAAGCTACAAAAATGACAGAGACAACGACACAGTAAAGAAGAAATTTAACAACATCAAACAAAGAGGTATCATTTTTTTTTAATTTAGTCGTTTAATTCTTGTAGGTTTCAATTAGACTTTTGATGATTATTTTAAATTTGTTTTGATGATTTCCATTTGTTTTTATTTAGTCAGTACAAAACTTCATCGAACGTTTACTGTTATCATTGTTGTTATCATTTTGGTTCAAGTTTATGCAAAACGGAAACGGTTTCGTATCATCGTTTCTGAAATTTGGGGAGGGGTAGTCAGAGAGAGAAGGGAGAGAAAGAGAGAGAGAGAGAGAGAAAAAGGAATATCCAAACTGGAAAATCCTATTTGGGAGTAAGGGGGGTGGGGGGCTAACTTTTATTGCTCAATTAATTTCTATAGTATAACGTTATGTCTGGAAAAAGGGACCCCTCCCCACCCACCCCCCACCCCCCCCCCACCCCGCCTGTGATACGTGCTGAGAAATACAGTTTACTGTTATATACATGAAAGGTAATACCATGGTCACAATTTTTATAAAGTTGTTGTTTTCGTTAAAGTATAGTAAATTGGAATGGGACATTGTTGCATGAATGAGGCAAATCACATTTTTCCTGGATGAATGAAAATGTACGAAAAATCGTTGGGCTCATTTTCGGAGGTTAAAAAATATTTTTTCACGTTATAAGGAGATTTAGAAACAGGAAAGACACACTCAATTGCAAAAAAACTTATAATTATTGCTTGTGATGGTCCAAGATAAAGATAGCCTTTAATCTTCATTGTATTGAATAAACTAGATCACAAACAAGAAAGAGGAGACTTATGCAAATGTCTTGGTTAAACAGCAAAAGTTTCCCGTTATAACACGAAAGTTTCGCTCTAACGTTAAAGTTACAAGTTTATTCGCGAATTCTTTTAACCTACGAAAATGAGCAAAATGGGCTTTCGTAACTGATTTGTCTTATCTATGCCTGCTCAATAAATGCAAATTTCTAAAGACATATTTAAAATAAATTAAGAGAACATGTATTGACCCAGGTAAAGAAAAGATTGACATGTTGAGAAGGCCAAAGACAGGCGGTGGCCCGGCGCCTTCTTCCCTAACAGCTTCCGAGGACGCATTGATGCAAGCCTTTGAAGGGCGACCACAGATATGCGGACTGCCGGATGGAATAGACACAGATGCAACTGATGGTACAAACAAAAATAAGATGAAGCTTTCTATTTCAAATTTTGCTCAACCTTCTTATTTCACAAAAATTTAAAATTCTGTGTATAAATTTAACAGAAATTGACAACGGCACGGCTTCTGTCTGTACATCTTCTGCCGCCTGTACATCTTCTGCCTGTACATCTTCTGCCATCTCTGAGTCTGCTACCCCCAAGACTGCAGCCACTGGCCATCAAGTCTCTTCTAAAAAGCCAAAGAGAAAAGGAATCAAGGATGCGTATGAAGAAGAAGATTTGGAGAATATGAAACTGGATAATAAAAAAATTAAGATCCAAATTGAGAAATTGATAATTGAAAAGCAGAAACTACAGGCAGAAAAGGAGTTCATTGAAATTAAGAAGGCTTTTTTGGTCCGTCAGTTCGAGGAGCGATATCCAAATTCGATTATTTATACAAGTAATTCAAGTCTGGGTAATGAATTGTAACATTAATTGTTTCAATTACGAGTGTAATTTTCTTGGAAAATTAAATGTACATGACTGTATTTAAGAAAAAAATTACATGAAACCTATAATACTGGAAAAAATAAATACTAATACATATAACGTTAACATTTATCTGTTAATTATTGCCAAAAGCTATTTTTAAGGCATAACAGCATTTAATACTGTGTTGTGAAATCTTATATCTTATCTGGCGAAGGGTACATGTAAAATGTGAAACGAAATAAAAATGAAATGAAACAATTAAAACGCCACATCTTCCGAAACGAAACGAAATCAAGGCCTAACGAATAGAAATAAAAACGAAACCTACCGAAAGCAAACCAAACTATCAGAATTACAAGCACTTGGGGTATGGACCCCCCTTTCCATGTAACTTGGTCATCTATATAACTGTTTAAAAAAATTAATTATTTAAATAATAAAATGCTTTCTTTGTTTGTTATTACTGGAACGGAAGCAGCTGTTGCAGAAAAAATACATAACCCGCGTAAGCGGGTTATGTAAATTTTTTTCTGCAATAGCTGCGACCGTTCATTCCAGTAATAACAAACAAAGAAAGACATTTTATTGCTTATATTTATATCTGTTTAAATTATCATTTTAAGTAGGATTAAAATATTAATTATTGTGTTAATGATGCGAACGTCTTTGTGCGTTTCATTGATGGAACAGCCACTGATCAAGAAATCAGTACAGGTGATATACCTAATGTAGTTCACGCAGTGATGAACGCAATGGGTTTTCTTAAGAAATAAAGAAGAAAATATTCAGTGGATGTAAATATATTGTTATAAAAAAAGAGAGAATGTTTAAATTGTACATTTATGTATGTTGAAATGCCCCTCGGGGCCCTTAATTGGTAAATAAAATATCTTGTATACATGTACATGTAGACGAATAAGGACTGAAAATGAGAGTAAGACATAAAAATTAGAAAATACTACATATACTGAAATATTATGCATGCATAGTATGCTCGCACATATTTGCAGCTCTCAGCAGTTCCTTCGTGTAAAAATATACATCACTACTAGGGAAACATTTTGACAGTTTTGTTTCGTTTCGTTGTGATTCCGTTTCGCTTCGGCAGATTTCGTTTCGCTTCAGTTCGTTTCGTTTCTATTTCGTTTCGCACAGGTACCCCTTTGCGAGTTTTGTATAGGTAATAAAATATCTTACTTAAGTGAAATACGTATCCACTATGTGATTGCGCATGTTTAATCCATCACCAACTACATGTAATGCATTGTCGTTTCCACCAAGCAGTTGAACTTCATCTTGTCTACAATCCACGATATCACCCCTGTCTATTCCAATGTTGTGCAATATTGCACAAGCAACGATGTACCTCGTATCTTGACTTGGGTCTGTCCTTATATAGAATAGATTACAGATTATTTCTCCAATTAACGGTTGTTGATTTATTCTTTGTCCCGACTGACAAAATGAAATAATTGAATGCAAAATACTGATTAAGTTCAACGATTTCTTTTAAACAAGTTTTTTAAATTATTCTTTTTTTTTTTTTAAATTTTCAAATGCCAAATACCTTAGTACCCCTTGTAGGCACGAAAATCTGCGCTTCAAAATTCCAAACGTTTGTTCCACTAGTACCCTCGTTTTACAAAGTGATGCATTGAATCTCTGTTGTGGGACAGTAGAAGGATTCAGAAACGGTGTCATGAGATACCTTTTACAAGGATAACCAGAATCTCCGAGTAGAAATCCGTTATATTCACCTATTAAGATGTAATACAGAATTACATTCTAAAAAATGCAAATAATTTATTGGTTTTGTGTTTTTGAAATGATAGGAAAGTGATTGCAAAACAAGTACTGTACCATTCTCAAATTTCTGACACAATGCAGATTCGCGCCATATTCGGCTGTCGTGAACGCTGCCAGGCCATTTCGCACAAATACTTGTAATTCTGAAGTTGGCATCGCAAACAGCCTTTAAAAAATTTAATATACATGTAAAACGAAACATAATTATACAAGGACAATATTGAGGCTGCTTGATTTTTAAAATGTGCGTTAATTAATCGACAACATCAACATGCACAGAATTGATGGAGCAACCTCCAGTGTTTTACAGTAATAAGATTAATGAAGCGACTTTGAAACCCCTTCTTTTTATTTAACAAGTAGGATTTGGACAACTTTTTTCTTGAATGATTAATTCTCACTCTAAAAAAAAGTCTTAAATCCGTGCACATTTTTTTTAAACATCGCAAAAAATATACCTGTACGTTCAACGAATGGAAACCTTTACGATTGACATAATCAGGTTCGTTGTCATTAGGGGCAATAATTCCAATAAATGTGCCATCAACACACCCTAAAACGTTTGGAAATCCTATAAGAAAAGATCAAATTAAATCAAAGCATGCATGATAAGTCTAACTCATTTTTTTTTTCGGATTAAAAAAAAAATAAATAAAAAGGTAGGCCTATATTATTTCTTATGACACATGAATGAAACTACGTAAACCGTAACCGTTTGTGTAGTTCTATAAGTATCTCTTACATGTTGAATGTTTTCAAACCATACAAGCCTGTGCCGTCCATATGAAAAAAAACCTTTTTTTTTAAAGTTATTTGAGTAGATATATTTCTTATTATTTGACTTTTCATGCAATCTAAAGAGTACGAACACATAACACACACCTAAGCCTTTGAGGTAGTAACTGTTCATTGGAGTTGTCTTTCTTTGAAAAACAAAACCGAAAGTACAATGCATACGAAAAATGAAAAGGACATTGATAATTTGATTTCATTGGGAAGATGCGGGGTTTTTTTTACCTGATATTTTCAAAAATTGTTGTTTTGTTTCTCTGGCACGGTTACCCTTGGGGAAGGTGATACAATCTGCCAGCAAATGAACTATAGCATCACAGACTGATCGACAACATCTTCCAGTAGTTGTTTCAGACACTCCAATGCTGTCCCCGACCAGTCTGTGAAACGCCCCCGTTGCTAGGAACCTCAGGCAGGTGATAATCTGCAGGATTGGAGGTAAGGCGCTGTTCTTCGTCGTATTATGCATAATTGCTGGACCGATTTTGTCCAAAATATATAGGATAGTTGGTGTTCTAAACCTATACCTATCAAAAATCTCATCCTCAGAATATATCTCTAATGGATTCATTCGGTCTCGTATTACTCTTTTTGAAATTCTACGAATACGTCGCATTTGTCGCCTGCGGCGCCGTTTATGTCGTCTGTGAGCAGCCATTTGTATTGCTTGAGTATTTACTTGAGAAAGGTCAAGATCTACCTCCAATAATTTGAGTACGTAATCAAATTTTTGACTTGAGTATGTACTCAAATATTTGGTGGCGGTGACTTGAGGCTGAAATTATGGGTTTGAGAATTTTGTCAGAGTTGAGGCTGAGTTTTATACTCAACTACTTTTGGTGGCGGTGGGGCCAGGTGAGGCAGAATTCTGAGAATTGAGGCTGAGTTTTGAGCTGAGATATTTATAGGTTGGTGGCCCCGAAGCCTGGAGATACGGACGTTTCAGTTGTTCTGCCACACATTGCGGTCCAAACGTTTGCTGTTCTTCCCAGTAAAATATGAATGCCGTATTGATTAAATAAAATCAAATCTGCATGTCTATACCAGTTTTTCTTTATTTCCTACTACTCAGATTTACGCCAAGGGTTATATACCATAAAAAGATAAAAGATCATGTTTATATCAACAAATGGAAATTATACTTTTGATTGTATGTTGTTTAACGTCCCTCTCGAAAATTTTTCACTCATATGGAGACGCCACCACTTGCCGGTGGAAGGCTACAAATTTTGTCCTATGCTCGGCACTCAGGGCCTTTCAGCAGTGAAGGATCTTTTTCGTGCCAGCACCTACTGCGACACGGGGCCTCGATTTATATGGTCTCATCCGAAGGACCGGTCTCCACGTCCCGCAGTGGGATTCGAACCCGCGACGTAATTAAGGATTAACTCCTTACTTCGCGACTCAAGAGCAGAGGTTCTAACCACTGCGCCACGCGGGCGACTAATGATGCTTTTGAGTAACTATAAAACATACTCTATCGTTTCTCATTTACATTCTTCCAAAGTTTGTACATTATATTTTCCAAAATGTCTTCAGACAGAAACTTCATATCTTTTCATACTTCTCACACATTTTTATAAAATTACAGTAGGAATTTGTGAAATGACAGTCCAGAGTACTTGTCAAAAGGAATTTTTGTTTTACGAGTGGGGAAAATGCTTTAAAAATATTGTTAGCTTTCCGTTGATTTAAACAATGAAAAACACATGTTTTACACAAATTATAGAGTTATCTCTCTTCGTTTTCTTTAAAAATGATGTTTTATGAAAATCTATACAAATATCTATAAAAATATTATATATCATTAGAATATGTTAACTTTTGAAATTGACGTGAAAGTAGGCGGGAGAACAATACTATCGTTCGCAGTTCTTTAATATACACTCGGGACATTTACTCCTAACAGACCAAAATACCCATATTTTATATATTTCGATGTCAGTTAATGGTTCTGCTCTTCTTTACTTACAAGTTTCATTTACCCTCGCCTTAAAAACTTCCTACACTCAAAACAAATTTACACAAAATGTTATTTTATTCAGAAAGAGGGATTGTTTCTATGAGTCTTTTTTTCATTTTGAGTTTCAAGAAACGATTTCAGCAAATTCATGTCAGTAAATGATTTCCTTCGTGTGTTTTGGTCTTCTTGCTCATTGATATATTTATAAATTTAATTTTCGTCTATTGATTCCAATTGCGATCCAGATATCGGGACAATGAATGAACAAGGAAACTATTTTTTTTCTTCCAATTTATCAATATATAATAAGTCTTGACAAAATGTACAAATAATATACAAAGCCTAATATTTCACAACTTACTTTTTCCGCTTTATGATGACATCTAGAACTTTCAATTCTAGCTAATGTTATAATGAATTTGGGTTGATTTTGAAACTTAAAATAAATCACCGCATGGAAATAAGAGCTATTGCATGTATTTGATTTTCTTAACTTTACCACTGCCCCATTCGGCCACAAAGAGGTTGTCTCTTGTGTCTACACACAAACCCCAAGGAAGGTCTACTTTAAGTCGTACGTAATGGAGAAATTGACCACCCTGATCTAGTATGTGGATACAGTTGTTGTAACAGTCTGCTATTAGAATCTGACTCTGACTGTCTGTTGTGATCCCGTATGGATCAAAGGATTTTTTGGATGCATAATGCCCAAAATATCTAAATTTGAGTTTTGCAGCCCTATTAATCACAACTACGGTACTTGCTCCATTGTCAGCCACACAGATATCCAGATTCCTGTTCTCACTGATGTATTTAATGAAACCTAGTGAAAACAAGGGTTTTCCTTTTTCATCAAACTGAATTAATTGTTTCTCTATGAAGCTATCAGTGTAACGTACAACTTTTGATTGTTTATGGTAATCACTAATCATGTAAACGAGGAGGTCACCAGAAGAGGTACTACAGAGACTGTAGGGTTTCCACATTTGAAATTCTTTCGATTCCATTCTCCGTTGATTCTTCACTATGTTTATAGTTTTTGACTCAGGGTCAGTATAGAGCAAATCTCCACTTCTTGTTACAGCAATGTCACCAGGAAAGTCCCCTAGCTGAGTTTGAATTGACTCTAATATTTTCCCACGGAAGTTGTAAAGTTTCATGACTTTGTCTTCCCCACATGTCCAAATGTGTTTATTACCAAGACATATTACTCTGTTCATTTCATACCCAGTATCTATAGTGGTGATGAGTTCTGGTCTGGCAAGCAAAGGTTTGACAGTTAAAGAGCTAGACATGAGATTAATTTGTTATGCCTGCTCTCTTGGTTTTTTAAATATATTTCTTTCATTTAATGAAGTAGTTTCTGCTTTGAATCAGTCGTACATGTATGTTGTCCTTTGTGTAACAAAACTGTATTACAGGTAAAAAAAGACAGGAAAGTCATATGCATATGAACAAAATGTATATTTGAGAAAGTTACGCAAGGGTGATATTATTCTGTAATTTTGATAAAACTTAAATTGCTTCGTTTGAATCGGCGCTTTAATTCACAGATTCACTATAAATGTATGTTGTGTTTTCATTTCTATTTCCCCCTACTATTCCAAACATCGAGTTTCCTGCAAAAACAATATACTCAATAATTAATGAATGACACATAAAGTCGTTTACAAAAAAGAGTTCAAATGCGGATCAATGAATATGAATGTATTGAAACTTTAAAACGTTGACAGTCTCACCCATTAAAATCAAAATGGCTTCCCTGAGTATTTCCGATTGTGAATTATGTATTTATGTGCATTTTACTTTTTATTTTGCACTTTTTATCGAGAATGACTGACTTCATGTCATGGGATTTAAATACCCGTCTAGGTTTGTAGGAAATTAATACCCGTGACATCATTTCCATTGTTAAAATACATGAATGTTGCCAAATTGACATTTGAAACACTCTTTGGCAAAATAATTTGTCAATATCAAATGACATAGTTTCTAACACTTACATTGTAATTAATAAATTCCATTTATTTATCTTCATCTGCATAGCTTCGAGGGGTACCTGTCTCCCCAACGTTTTTTTCCAAACATCACTTGCACTATTGAAAATATTCATTGAAAGGCTAGGTGCCCCCCCCCCCCCATCCCCGCACCCCCTCCCCCACCCCCCAGTTTTACTAGAGTAAAGTGATATAAGTGAAATGTAGTATTGTAAGCAAAGAAATTGGTACTGAAAGAAAACGGCCCCGGAAAAGGTTGCCCTCACCGCTTTTTTTTTTTTTTGGGGGGGGGGGGGGGGGGGGGGGGGGGGGGGTCGACAGCTTTTCCATGTAAGTAAAAAAAAATTCTCTTGCTGCCTACCCCCCTCCCCCCCCCACTTTCAAAAACAATCCTAATGAACCCTCAAAATATGGACTATAATGTTAAAAGACTTGTAATGCTAGAACCACCAAATATTGATTGATTTATTGTATATTGTTTAACTCCCTCTCGAGAATTTTTCACTCATATGGAGACCGTATGTTGGTGAAGGGCTTCAAATTTTTACCTTTACTCGGCACTCGATTGAGCAGTGAGGGATCTTTATCGTGCCAACGCATGCCGCTGACACGGACACGGTTTTTAAGGTCTCAACCGAAAGACCCGCAACTTTCACTTCAAAGTGCCGAGCGCATGGCGAAGGAACAGTTGCTACCCATTTTTTATCGACTTACATGTAGGTCAGTTGCGGCCGAGATACGAACTCACGACCTCCCGATCACGGAGCGAACGCTCCACCGACTGAGCTACCGTGAACAATTACACAAAATATTAATCAGTTACTTAATATATTTTCACATCTTTTTCTAGGTCACTAGTTAGTTCAACAGTCATCTTGGTACTCAGGTCATCCAGGTGTTGTACAAATACAGTCCTAGTAATAAACATCATTTTCAAAATCATAGAAAAAAAAACATCCATTTTCAAAAGAGATTTTCACTACCTTTATTGCAATTAAAGCACAAGCCTTTGAAAGGCATACTTCAGTAACCTAAAACATGTATAACTAAACATAATACAAATTTAGACAATGTGACTCAATGTCAAACATATAATACATTATATAATAGCCCGGAAACTTAATATGATACTTAAAATGTTTATGACATGCTTTCACTAGGCTAAGCAAAATATAAGCAGTTCACGATTACACATTGAAGTTCAATCCTCATCTGACTTGCACATTCATATGGATTTATGCTAAGTTGATCACTTTCAAAAATCGTCATCACAAAAATGAATTATGTATATTTCTTCACCATACCCAGCTTCTTTAAAACATGTGACAAAAAAAAAAATAAATGCATTTCCTTAAATAAAATCATGTAGTGAGTATCCAGCAATATTTAAAATTATTATTTTTCTTTATTGTTCCAACTATCTGATTGGCTCAAACTGGATCACATGATCAAGTATAAAAAGTGTTACAGACTGGATGTTTCTATTATGAAAATTTATAAACCTGCTGTTTCTAAAATTGGAAACGTTCTTCTGTGAAGCAACAATAGTGCTGACGTCACAATAGTCTTTTTAGACTGGATATTTCTAAAAACAGATACTGCAGCTGGTTTTCATTACTGTGACGTCAAAATGCAATGACATAACAATGCCTTGTATGAGAAGGTACTGAGTATTATAGGATTTAAAGACATTTCCTA